ATACGTCGGCTATGGCTAACGGACGAGGAGGAGAAGAAGAGGAGGAGGCGAAGGAGGAGGAGGAAGAAGACAATGACGAAGAAGAGGGAAGAAGAGGAGGAGGAGGAGGAGGAGGAGGGAGAAGATGATGACGAAAAAGAGGGAGGAGAAGGGTAGGAGGAAGAGGGGGAGAAAGAAGACGACGAAGAGGAGGGAGGAGAAGAAGAGGAGGGGGAGGAGGAGGAGGAGGAAGAAGAGGATGCCGAAGAAGAGGGAGGAGAAGAGGAGGAAGAGGAGGAGGAGGAAGAGGAGGAGGTTGAGGAGGAGGAGGAAGAGGAGGAGGTTGAGGAAGAAGAAGAAGAAGAAGAAGAAGAAGACCAAACCTTCAAAGTAAGGGGCGCGATGGACTCGTCAGCGGGGGGGGGGCAACGGCGCGACTACCAAGCGATGGCGCGGCTGGCTGGCGGGCGGCCGACGACGACGCTCTCCAGCTACGGGACGACGACGACGCCCCTAACCCACGCTGCCCCACTTCGGACCAACTCTAACCCTAAGTGGTGGTTAGCACTAACCAATTAGGTTAGGGTTAGGGTGGATAAGTCAACTCTCACCAGCAGGTAGAATCCGCTCTCCTACCAGTGTTATGATCCTGTCCAATTTCGAAGTACACATTCATCAGATAGTACAACGTCGTCCAATTGCAAAAAGAAATGAATGAACTTGAGAGGAGAAAGAGGGTAAGAAGAAGAAGAAGAAGAAAGAAAGAAGAAGAAGATGATGTACTTCAGCATAGACAAATGATAATGCTCTTCTTCTTCGCCAAACACTCTCCTCCTCCTTAACTCCTCTCTTATTCACACAAGAAATAATAATACAATGTTGAATGGCTGAACCAGAATCAATGTCTGAATCCCTCTTCTACTGCAGGTATCACTTGAGGTCCACCATAGCCACGACTGCCTCTCTCCTTCTTCCTCCTAGGCCAAGGCTGTGGTGGACTACCAGGGTATGGCCCGTCTCTTCGAAGGACAACACGAAGCAACTATGGCTTCTCTAGTTCAGGCCCCCATGCGTAACTCTGCCTTGAAGCTTCTTGGTGTAGCTCTGCCCCAACGGGGGACTTCCTGCTGCAGCACCCACCAAGGTGATGAAGATGGCAACCACCATAGCCAGGTAAGTACCTTTGGCGCTCCCCCTTCCTCCTGGGCTTCTTCCTCCTCCGTGTCCTTGCTCCTTCCCCAGTAGTGCTGCTCCAAGCTAGCTCTGCTCCAGCGAGCGCTCCAACGAGTGTGTCGCCAAACAGCACACCATCAATGAGGCCGGGCTCTTTGCTCGGCCAGGAGATATAGCGGCCTACTTGCCTCTTGGGTGGTGACTTCCAGGCCGCTCGGCCTTCCAAGCAACTGGTACCTCCTCCCTTTCGGAGGGAAGCATCATTGTAGACTCTGATATTGCCCGGACAGGCCCTAGACTCA